GGGCCTCTTGGGGCCTCTTGGGGGCCCTCTTGGGAGGCCCCTAGAAGGGCCTCTTGGGGCCTCTTGGGGGCCCTCTTGGGAGGCCCCAAGTGGGCCCCCGAGGGGCCCCCAGGGCCCCCAAGAGGCCCCTTCAAAGGGGGCCCACGAAGGCTCTTTAAAAGGCCCATATGGTGCCCTCTAGGGGCCCCCCAAGGGGCCCCCAAGAAGCCCTCTAAGGGGCCCCCAAGAAGCCTTCTAAGGGGCCCTCATGAAGCCCTCTAAGGGCCCCCCAAGTGGGCCCCTAAGGCAGCAGAGTGCGTCCAGGGGCCCCCAAAGAGGTGCTAAGTAGAGCAGCGCTCGAAGGAGTTGGGGGCCCCCCTAAAGGGGTACGGGGGCCCTCCAAGGGGGGCCCCCTATAGAGGAAAAGAATAGTAAGAAGAGGCAGCTGAGGCGGTGTTCTTAACAATTATATCTTTAAAGCTGCAGCGATATTTAGTTTTGCATTTGGTGCTGCTCTGCTCCTATACAGACACCCGCTGCTGCTGCTGCTGCTGCTGCACTACCGAACCCTTCTCCCTCAGCAGCAGCAGCAGCAGCAGCAGCAGCAGCAGCAGCAGCAGCAGCAGCAAGAGACTGTGGGAGTTCTTCGCAGGGCGAGATGCTCTCTAGACAAGAAGTTTAGCAAAATTAATATTAATTTTGTTTGAATATTAATTAACATTTTGATTAAAAAAAGAAAAACAAAAGAAGAAGGGGATCTGCAGCAACGGGGTGGGGGGCCCCCCCTGCGTGTACACCTCAGCTCTTGTGTCTCCTTCTGTCTGTTTCTTCTTACCTTTTTTGTTTTATTTCTTTTTATATATTCTTTTTTTATTTGTTTTAAATGTACAAGGCTTATAGGCAGCTGCTGTATGTACACCCCAAGCTGCGCAGACACCGCAGCGCCTTGATACGAAAACTATAAATATAAACAGTCGCTGCCTTCTACTGTCGCTACGCTGCCTCTGGGGCCCCACAGGGCCCCACATCTTTTGCATGCATTTGGGGGAATGGGGGGTGCACTCTATGGACGCCTGCAGCAGCAGCAGCAGCAGCAGCACCAGCACCAGCACCAGCAGCAACAGCAGCAGCAGCGCTGACTGCAGGAACAGAAGCGACGGTTGCTTCGGCAGCAGCGGCAGGGGCAGCAGAAACAGCAGCAGAAGCAGCAGCAGCAGCAGCAAAAGGAGCAGCATGAGGGCGAAGATTCACCCCATACCGCTTCCGCTGCTGCTGCTGTTGCTGTTGCTGCTGCTGGTGGTGCAGCAGCAGCAGTGCGGTGTCTGTACACTTCACAATGCAGGCGCTGCTGCCTCCGTTTTGAAGAGGGGGGAGACACAGAGACAAACAGCAGCAAAATACTTTACCCCTGCCTTTCTAAACGCACCCAAGCTGCAGCTGCTGCATGCAACACCAGCAGCAGCAGCAGCAGCAGCAGCAGCAGCAGCAGCAGCATCGTCTGCTGCTGCAGGTAATAGGGGAAGATGCAGAAATCACCTCCTTCTTCCTTTACTCTCCAGCAGCAGCAGCAGAGTCTTAGCAGCAGCAACAGGAGCAGGAGCGGCAGCAGCAACAACAGCAGCAGCTGGCGGCAGCAGCAGCAGCAGCAGATTGTGGGAATGCAATAAAAGACGAGCCCGTGAGGCCCTTCATCTGCTGCGGTGCCGCATTCAGGCAGCAGCAGCTGCTGCAGCAGCAGCAGCAGCTGCTGCAGCAGCAGCTACTGCTGCTGCTGCGTCTGGTGCGTTTGCTGCTCTTGCTGCAGCAACCCAGAAACTGCTGCGTGTTGCTGCTGCGCCTACACTGAGAGACAGCTTCGTGCTGCAGCTGCTGCTGGTTGGGTGTCTATACACCTTACATTTGCTGTTCATTTCCCCCCATATGCTGCTGCTGCCGCCGCTGCTGCAGCAGTTGCTGCATGCAGAAGCAGTGCATGCAGATTCTATCATGGGTATTCTTTCTGTTGCAATTGGTGCTGCTGTTCTGCTGCAGCAGCAGCGGCAGCAGCAGCAGCAGCAGCAGCAAGCTGATGGAGGCCAGCATCGGCTGCCCTGGAGGGTGAGTCTCCTCTTTGCTGTCTCCTTCTGTCTTCTCTCTTTAATTATATTTTGTTTTTGTTTGTCTTTGTTAGTTTTTGTTTGTCTTTATATTTGTCTTTGCTTTTGTTTGTCTTTGTTTGTTTTTGTTTGTCTTTGTTTGTTTGCTTTTTATATATCGTGCTGCTGCTGCTGCTGCTGCTTCCCTCTTGTATGTTCTTCCGCTCTGCCTCTCCTGCTGCTGCTGCTGCTGCTGTTGGTCCTACTGCCTTTGCTGCTGCTGCTGTTGCTGCTGTTGATGAGGCTGTTGTTGTTGCTGCTGCTGCTGTTGCTACTGCAACCGCTGTTGCTGCTGTTGATACGTATGGTTTCCCCGCTGTTGTTGTTGCTGCTGCTGCTGCTGCCGGTGCTGCTGCTGTTACTGATGCTCCCGCTGCTGCTCTTGCTTATGTGCTGCTGCTGCTGCTGCTGCTTCTGCAGGCTCCGAAGGAGAGCATCTGGCGGTGTGCGTTAGCTGCTGCGGGTTTGCTGCTGTCCTTTGTCTTATCTGGACATGTTGCTGCTGCTGTTGAGGTGCTGCTGGCTGTTGCTGCAGCAGCAGGTGTATGTACACCTCAACTAGACATACACAGAGCGCTGCAGGTACTTGGCTTCATCAGCTTCTCTCCTGCTGCTCCTGCTACTGTTGTTGCTGCTGCTGCTGCTGTTGCTTCTGCTGCTGCTGCCGTTGCTGCTGTTTCTGTTGTGTTGCTCCTGTTGCTCCTGCTGTTGTTGCTGTTGCTGCTAAACGAGTTACTGCAACCATAATTGCTGCTGCTGCTGCAGCCACAGTTGTCACTGCTTTTGCTGCTGTTGCTGCTGCTGCTGCTGCTGCTGCTGCTGCAGGTGCTGCTGGGTCACTTGGCCTGGGTGGCTGTGGGGGTACTTTTGCTGCGGGTTTTGCTGCCCTCATTCAGGCAGCAGCAGCAGCAGCAGCAGCAGCCGGACGTCATGCAGCAGCGGCTTGCTGCTGCGCTGCACGCTGCTGCTGCTGAAACAGAAGCAGCAGCAGCAGCAGCGATAACAGCAGCATCTGAAGCAGCAACAGCAGCAGCAGCACATGCACCACCAGACGCACGAGTCCTTCGTGAAGCAGCAAAGCAGGCACTGCATGCGGCTGACCAACTGAAGCGTCTTCTTAACTACCAGCCGCAGCAGCAGCAGCAGCAACAGCAGCAGCAACAGCAGCAGCAGCAGCAGCAGCAGCAGGGCGCGCATGATGGAGCAGCAGCAGAACCTGCAAGCCCACCGCTTGCCTTCTTGCGACCTCAGCAGCAAACAGCGCTGCCGTCCTACGCAGCAGCTGCAACAGCAACAGCAACAGCAACAGCAGCAGCAACAGCAGCTGCAGATGCATCAAGCCCTTGGGCTCGGCTGCAGCCAGCCAGAAGGGGGATTGTTCGCGCTGCTGCTGTGCTTACAGGAAGAATGAAGCAGCAACAGCAGCAGCAGCAGCTGCAGCAGCTGCAGCAGCAGCAGCAGCAAGGGTTCTTGTGGCTGCGGAAGGTTGCTGCAGCGAGCACTCGTCTGAGAGAGCGTCTCTCTGCAGCAACTCAACAGCTGTCTTCCCTCCTCCAGCAGCAGCTGCAGCTGCAGCAGCAGCAGCAGCAGCAGCAGCAGCAGCAGCAGCAGCAGCAGACGTATTGGTACAGCAGCAACCTGCGAGGGCCCCACAAGGGGGGCCTTTGGGTGTGGTGGTCCTTCTTAGGTTTTGCTGCCTCTTGCCTCGTCTTTAATGCTGCAGAAATCATCAACTCAGCGCTACTTGCTGCTGCTGCTGCTCCTAGGAAACCGGTAAACCAGCAACAGCAGCAGCAGCAACAACAACAGTAGTTGTAGCAGCAGCATCAGCAGCAGCAGCAACAGTAGTTGTAGCAGCAGCAGCAGCAGCAGTAGTTGCTGTTGTTGAAGCAGCAGTAGCAGCAGCAGTAGTTGTAGCAGCTGCAGCAGTAGTTGTCGAAGCAGCAGCAGCAGCAGCAGCAGCAGCAGGAATTCCAGCAGCAGCAGCAACAACAGCAACAGCAGCAGCAGCAGCAGCAGTAGTCGCAGCAGCAGCAGGAACAACAGTGGCAGCGGCTGCATCGTGGTTTTCTAGGCTGTGCCTTGAAGCCAACCCTAAACCCTAAACCCTAAGCCCTAAACCCTGCTAAACCCTAATCCTCTCTGGTTGCTTTACCTCCCCAAGGGAAGGTAGCCCCTAAACCCTAAACCCTAAACCCTAAACCCTAAACCCTAGACTCTGTTATTTTGTTTGTTTGCAGGTGGAGGAGTCTCTGGTGCATAGATTAACGGATGCTAGCAGCAACAGCAGCACAGCTTTGCTGCTAGCAGCAGCAGCACCTTGCATATCAGCCCCGATATGGGAGGAGGCTTTATATAGAGGTTTTTGTTTGCCTCTTCTAAGCCGCTATTTATCTGTTCCTGCTGCTGTATGTTTGTCTTCATTACTATTTGCTTCTCATCATTTAAATATAGAGACATTACTACCTTTATCTGCACTCGGAGCTCTCTGGGCTCAGCTGTACATACACTGTAATAATTTACTTGTACCTATTGCTATGCATGCAATGTGGAACCTACGCGTCTTTATTAGCTGCTTTCTGTACCTTTAATATTTTATTTTCTTTTCTTTTTCTTGTTATATCTATCGAATATCAATTGTCAGATATAGTAATAATAATTTTTATTAATAATTAATTAATAATTAATTATAATTATTAATAATAATTAATAATAATAATTAATTAATAATAATAATTAATAATAGTAATAAATAATAATAATAACGCAAACTTTTTTTCTTTCTTTTCTTTGCTCTACAGCTTCAATCATATACTCTCTCTATATCATATCGTCAGTCTTGTCTCTGTCTTCGTCTTTATGTCTTTGTCTTTGTCTGTCTTTGTCTTTATGTCTTTATGTCTTTGTCTTCATGTCTTGGTCTTTACGTCTTTGTCTTTGTCTTTGTCTTTGTCTTTGTCTTTATGTCTGTCTTTGTCTTTGTCTTTGTCTTTATGTCTTTGTCTTTATGTCTTTGTCTTTGTCTTTATGTCTTTGTCTTTGTTTGTTTCCTGTGCTTTTATGTCTCTCTCTGTCTTTGTCTTTGTTCTTTTATCTCTCTCTGTCTTTGTCTTTATGTCTTTGTCTTTGTTTTTTTATTTTTATGTCTGTGTCTTCGTCTTTGTTTTTTATTTTTATGTCTGTGTCTTTGTCTTTGTTTTTTTATTTTTATGTCTGTGTCTTTGTTTCTTTGTCTTTGTTTTTATTTGCCCTCTTTGTCTCTTTCCTGAGTTTTAACTTAATTTATTTAATTTATTTTTATTTTATTATTATTTTATTTTATTGTCTCACTAAACGCAAGACATTCATCAAACAAACAAAACAAAAAGAAAGACAAAGACAGACAAACGAGAGACAAACACAGTTTGAAGATATGTTTATATATATAATATATATATATTTATATTTATATATTTACAGACATATACATCTACATATATATATAAATATATATATATATATATATATATAAATATATATATATATACATATATGCTTATATACATGTAGTTATTTGTTTATTTGTATGTGTATTATAAATACATGCATATGCATACAAACCGCTATAAATAAATAATATATATAATATATATAATATGTATAATATATATAATATAAATAATATATTATATATATTATATATATATCTACATATATTTTTTGTCTTTGTTTGTTCACCTATTAACTTTCTTTGTTTTTTTTTGTCTTTTTCTTGCTGCCTTCTCACTGAGCTGTATCATATATATTATATTATATAATATATATAATATGTATATACATATGCATATTATATAATATATATACTAATCTATAATATATATATATATATACATATTTTATATATTATATAATATATATATATATATATGCATGCAGTGAGTATACAAATATATATAATTATATATATTATACATCTATATTCATATCTATAAATATATATTATATATATTTATGTGTTTCTATATAATAATATACATGCTACATATAATGTATATGCAGGTAATTAGAGTTAGATATATATATATATATATATATTATATTTATATTATACATATAATACATATACATATATATACACCTGAGTATACAATTAAGTATGCATGCAGCTGTTTATTAAAAAAAAAGCAGAGATCTAATAAACTGCAGCAGTGTTGCTGCTCGCTGCCCTACTGCTGTGCGCAGCAACAGCAGCTGCAGCAGCAGTTGCTGCAGCAGCAGTTGCTGCAGCTGCACCATATGTAGCAGCAGCAACTGCAGAGGCAGCAGCAGCAACTGCAGAGGCAGCAGCAGCAACTGTAGAGGCAGCAGCAGCAATTGCAGCGGCAGCAGCAGCAACTGCAGCGGCAGCAACTGCAGCAGTAGCAGCAAATGCAGCAGCATGAGCCGCAGGGAGAGCAGCGGCAGCAACAGCAGCTGCGGCAACATTAGCTACAGCAACAGCAACAGCAGCTGTAGCAGGTCAAAGAGCACCGGCAGCACCGCCTGAAGAAGCAGCAGCAACTGCTGCTGCAGCGGATGCTGCTGCTGCTGCGCTTCTGCTGCTGCTGCACTGCTGCTGCTGCACTGCTGCTGCTGCTGCACTGCTGCTGCTGCTGCGCTTCTGCTGCTGCTGCACTGCTACTGCACTGCTGCTGCTGCTGCTGCTGCTGCTGCTGCAGTTTATATAAGGATTGTGACTGGGGGCTGCTGATAAGCTACAAACAGAGGAGAAGGCTCTACAAGAGTTACGGTGTAGGTCGGAGGCGCCTTTACAACAATTCTTACAGGCTGCTGCTGCTGCTGCTGCTGCTGCTGCTGCTGTTGCTGCTGCAGCACGCAGACAGTTGGCTGCTGCATGACTACCAGCGGCACTGCAGGGACCACAGGGACGTAAACGGGAGTTGTAAGAATTGCAAATCCCATTGTTACTGCTGCTGCTGCTTCTGCTGCTGCTCTCGAGTCTTGCTGCTGCTGCTGCTGCTGCTGCTGCTGCTGCAGTGTAGCTTACAGCGTAATGCTTCTAATGAGTTAAAAGAAGCAAAACAAACCCGATAAGGAACCAACAATGGAGAGAAGCGCCTTTGAAAATACCTGTGCTAGACCTTGCCGATACTGCTGCTGCTGCTGCTGCGCTGCTGCTGCTGCTGCTGCTGCTGCTGCAGTAAGGCACAAGAAGGCCTTTGGCGAGTAAATGAATGAAGAAGAAACTACAAATAATAAATATTATGAGCAATTTGATTAAGGAGAAGGAGCTTCTGCTGCTGCGTTTGCTGCTATGACCGGTGGTAGACCGCTAGGCACACGATGCCAGCAGCAGCAGCAGCAGCAGCAGCAGCAGCAGCAGCGGCTCCTGTCGCTGCATGCACGCGGGCCTGGGTCTGGCAGTGTCTGCTGCAGCTGCCTGTACACCTCAAAAGCTTGCAGGTTTTTTTTTGCTCTTATGAAGCAGCAACAACAATCTAGCTGCCGTAGCGACAGCAGCAGCAGCAGCCGCAGCAGCATTAGCAGCAGCAGCAGCAGCAGCAGCATTAGCAGCAGCAGTAGCAGCAGAAGGAGACTGCTGCTACATCCCTCCTTTCCTTGCTGAACTTTGTTGGTGTTGCTGCAGATGCAGCAGCAGCAGCAAACGCGGCTTGCGCTGGGCTAGTGTATACTGCAGCAACAGCAGCAGCAGCAGCAGCAGCAGCAGCACAGGAAAGCCAACATTAGAATTAAAGACACAGGGCTAATCGAGCCGCAGCAGGAGCAGCGCGGAGAGAGCAGCACCTGAAAGGCATTGGCTTCCTTGTTGCTGCAGCGCCGCTGCTGCTGCTGTTGCTGCTGGCGTGCTGCTGCTGCTGCTGCTGCACCTCCAAGTGCTGGCGGTGCTGCAGTTGATGTTCTTCAGCGTTAGCAGCGGAATGTGCAGCAACAACCGCATCAGCAACAGCAACAACAACAGCGGCAGCAACGACAGCATCAATAGCAGCAGCAGCAGCAGCAGCAGCAGCACCAATAGTTAGGGCAGCAGCAGCAACAGCAGCAACTCTAAAAGCAGCAAGATGGGGGAGACGGAGCTTCTGACAGCACTAAATTCTCTCTTTGCTTCTACAGACCCCACAACACAAAGACAGGCGTAAGGGCTAGGGTTTAGGGTTTAGGGTTTAGGGTTTAGGGTTTAGGGTTTAGGGTTTAGGGATAGGCGTCGTTAGGTTAGGGCTATAAGGTTTGGGGCCTTGTACTGTAAGTGGAAGGAGCCTGTCATAGAGTCTGAGAAGAAGAATCCAGGGTTAAGGGTTTATTATGGTTTAGGGTTTATTAGGGTTTAGGGTTTATTACGTTTAAGGGTTTATTAGGGTTTAGGGTTAATAAGGGTTAGGGTTTATTAGGGTTTAGGGTTAATTAGGGTTTAGGATTAATTAGGGTTTAGGATAAATTAGGAATTAGGGTTAATTAGGGTTTAGGGTTTAGGGTTAATAAGGGTTTAGGGTTAATAAGGGTTTAGGGTTAATAAGGGTTTCTGTTGCTGTTGCTGCTGCTGCTGCTATGGCGGGTGCTGCTGTTGTTCTTGGTGCTGCTGTTGTTCTTGCTGCTGTTGCTGTTGCTGCTGTGGCTGCTGCTGCTGCTGCTATGGCTGCTGCTGCTGCTGCTGTGGCTGCTGCTGCTGCTGTGGCTGCTGCTGCTGCTGCTGTGGCTGCT